GGTTTAAAACAGTCACCTCGTGCTTGATTGGAAGATTCACCAAAGTGATGCTAGCCACTGGATATAAGCAAAGTCAGGGAGATCACACCCTCTTCATCAAACACTCAAATTCAGGGGGAGTCACAGTCTTGATAGTCTATGTGGACGACATTATTGTAACAGGAAACGATGAGAGGGGGAAACAAGCCTTGAAGCAGCGCTTGATCAAAGAGTTCGAGATTAAGGAATTGGGAAGGTTGAAATACTTTCTTAGGATTGGGGTGGCACATTAAAGACAAGGCATCTTCATTTCACAGCAGAAATATGTCACAGATCTTCTCAGAGAAACGAGAATGCTCGCTAGTAAACCAAGCCACAACTCCTATAGAGGGGAACCATAAACTTGGAGAAACCACAGGTGACCAAACAGTAAACAGAGAAATGTACCAAAAACTAGTTGGGAAACTCATTTATCTTGCACACACACGGCCAAACATAGCATATTCCGTAAGCATCATCAGCCAATTCATGCATAATCCCAAAGAGGTCCATCTACAAGCAGCCTACCGAGTGCTTCATTACCTAAAGGCTAACCCAGGAAAGGGAATAATGTTCAAGAGGAACTCTGAACTTGTCCTTGAGGCTTACACGGATGCAGATTATGTAGGATCTCCCATGGATCGAAGGTCTATCTCCGGATATTGTACATTCTTTGGAGGCAACTTGGTGACATGGAGAAGTAAGAAACAAAATGTTGTAGCTCGATCAAGTGCAGAAGCTGAGTTTAGGGCAATGGCACAGGGATTCTGCGAATTGTTATGGCTGAAGATCATATTGGAGGACTTGAAGATTAAATGGAGTGGGCCAATGAGACTCTACTGTGATAATAAATCAGCAATCAGCATTGCACATAATCCAGTGCAACACGACTGAACAAAACACGTTGAGGTGGATCGACACTTCATCAAGAAGAAGCTAGATAGCGGATTGATCTACACACCATATGTTCCCACAGGAGATCAACTAACCGATATCTTCACCAAAGGGCATAATAGTACTACCTTCCAAGAAATTACAACCAAGCTGGGAATGAGAGACACCTATTCACCAGCTTGAGGGGGAATGTGGGAAATTATCTTTAACATTATCTTCTAGAAGCAAGCATTATCTCCTAAGGATTATGACCGGCTAGGGCTAGGGATCATGTGATTATCTATTTCCTAGATTCTAGGTGATCGGCTACCAACAGAATTAGGGATAAGTTCTTTTCTCCAATGAGTTTATCTAACTCGTGTATATATATAGCCCATTAGTGGCTTGTGTAAATTATTAGAATTAATAAAATACTTTTTTCCTCATTCTTTTCCACACAAGCAAGCTAGGGTAATTCCACAGTTGACTCCGCTAAAAGGTGTAGAATTCAAATCTCCACCCCCAAGTTCATACTAAAAAAAAACAGCCAAATATTAAATATAGCCCATGCCATAAGAATATGTGCATCCTTACAAACTAATTATATCTTTATTAATGCAATTGATTCAAGGCTATTATGTGTTTCCATGTAACTAAATACCCATGAAAAGTTAACTGAATCCTTTCTTTGCAATACTAGGTTATTTTTTTCTCGAATTCTCATCTTTTCTTCCCCCTATATCTAGAACGTGTTGAACATGATCCAACAAGGCAACAACTAGTTGCAGGTTTCCACAGCTTAGGAATGGATGTTACTCTACTTCGGCCATGCGTCCTCTTGCATGTAAGAAATATTCAATCCTAGCTAGCCAATTCAAAACCATATACACGGTTGCATACTCCTAGGAGAGCAAAGAATTTATCTTTTAACTTCAATCATAATTTTGACCTCAACAAGTCATTTTTCGTCAAGGATTCTCATCTTGACCGTATGTTCACCACCTAAAATATCGATAAAATCACTAATAAACAACGTAATAACAATAACCAAAAAAGTAATTGAAATACTGATCCATCAATAAAATTGTCTCTAATATAAGATTTAGGTGCTGCATAACATGAATTGTAACTTTTGTCTAACAGCTAGAGAGGAAAAACATGAGTTTCGATCGGACTCACTAAGAATATGTTAAATTTATAGTTGGCAAAATATCAAAACATTAGAATATCATATAAATATTGAAATAACGTCAGTTGAAGTTCAAGTAGAAGATTGGGAAATTTTCTATTGCAGTTCAAGTATAACATCAAGAAATTTCAAACTAATGGATCGATCACCACCTGTTAGCTCAGATACAATTGGCACAAAATTAACAGAATCTTCAGCAAATTCCAAATGGATGACGATCAAGGATTATTTCAAAACTAATGGATCGATCACCACCTATTAGCTCAGATACAATTGGCACAAAATCAACAGAATCTTCAACAAATTCCAAATGGATGACGATCAAGGATTATTTCAATGATCATATAAAGTCTAGATCAAACATTGGTTGACGTATATTGATCAAGAGTGATATGGATGATCATTAAGCCAAATGAAAATATAAGAAAGATTTCTCAATTGTATTTCAACTTGAGAATGATCAAAAGATGTTCATAAGAAAGTTCATCTAAAGAACTCTCTGCAAAACATGAGTAAGAATTGAAAAAAGTGCTCTCATAAAGATCTTTGTCGGGTTGACAGAGTTCGTTTCTGTGAGATCAAGAACCTAGTTGCTTGATTTATTGTGTTGTTGCTCTAATGGCGTGGAGTAAGCCCATGAAACTGAAGATAGGCGTCGCTTGGAGTAAGGTTGTGCACTTGTTGGCAAGCACGGCTTGGAATAAGGTCGTGGAACTGAGCGTAAATATGACGGAGTAACGTTGTGGACCCAAAAAATGAGCAAGGGTGATGGTGGACTTGAGTCAAGCTCTAAAGACTTAACTCAATTTACCCTAAAAATAGGTATATTTGTGGACCCCAAAAATGAGCACGGGTGATGGTGGACTTGAGTCAAGCTCTAAAGACTTAACTCAGTTTACCCTGAAAATAGGTATATACTCAGTTTGGTTTGGTCAATTTTCTATACATTTTCCACCAAACCATGATGTCGATTTTTTGGGTTATGGGGACCAAAAATGATTGAGCATATACGAGGAAAACCAATTGAAAACCCAACCAAGAATAAAAAATAAATTTTTAGTCTTTCTGGTTGGTTTTGATTTGAATGGCTCACTAAAAGCAACCATCAGTCGGTTCAATTTCAAACTAAAAATGCTCGGGTTCCTTAAGACAGTCAGAATTCAGTGTTAGTTAAATTAGTTGGGACGATTTTTATGTATATTCCTACCCTTAAAACAAGAGTTTTGTAGCAACATCATGGAAGATTTTGGTAAGTACAGATGATGGCCTTCTGTCTATGATGGATGGAGTATATGAGAAATTCTAATTACTTATAATTCCATTGGATAATTCTATGTTTGGAGTTGTTTACTACAATGATCTCTTCCAAGATTGTTGGATTTTGGCCACACTAAATAATAATATCTAGTGTTCTTTATGTGATCGCTTGATTTATTTCTAATTATTGTTCTTTGTGCGTGGACAGGCATACCATGTTTATTCACATAAACTCACTAGACAATTTTAGATGATTAAACTACCTAAAATAAAAATTAGGTCCCGATTGTTTTGGCCTTTCTATAAATAAAACCGGTCATCAAACCTTCAACATAATGTAATTGTATCATAATGCCAATCAGTAAAATTCATAAACTTACACCCTTGAGGTTACTAAAAGAACAAGATGGTTCATTACTTTGGTCTCTACGTGTTGGAGGAAATGACTGGATATTATAAAGAAAATTAGTCATCTCCATTCTTATTCCTTTATGTCCCTTTCCAATTTCATAACCTTTCCTATTACATTCCTTTGCAGTTTGGTAAACATATCCAAAAGCTCTTCTACTTGCATTCTACAGGTGAGGAAGAGGGAGTAAATTTTGTCTTCACATAGTGAAAGCTTAATGCTCCCTTGGATTTAGGCATACTATTTGCTAAACCACATATATATCTTTTGTTCTTTGTGCGCTAGTTTTTTTTTTTCTTGATTGAATTTTCAGTGTGTTTTTTGATCTACTTCTACTCTAAGAACTAAGTTTCTAGTTCTCAATAAAATTTCAATTTCTACAATTAGTATCCAAGCATTCTTGAGATCCAATCTGCAAAACACGACATTGAGAAGTTCACAAGAAAGACTGACTTGGGTTATGAGTCAAGCGTTAAGGACATTGTTCTTGCAGCAAGGCCTTGAAGAAGATTTGGGATGGAGAAGAACCTATTCGGTTCTTTGACCAATAAAAAGAAGAAAGAACTATTGAGCAAGGTACAGAGTGCCACAAACTTGGGTATTGACAAGGCACATAGAACATTGCATCAAGCTACATGGCATCGAAGGAGTTGAAATACAAATCTCAAAAGAGAAAACGCAGTCCAAATAAAGGGTTCGCAAAAAATAGAACATCAGAGACAAGGGAATTAATGAAGCGACTGGAGGGAAGCTTCTGTTTAATAAAAAAATATAATCCAATTCCTATTCTCCATAAGGACAAATCCAAGTGAACATTATGGTGATTCTACCACAGGATGTTGTGGCAAAAGTGAAGCTTCTATTTAATTAAAAAAGAGGAATCCAATTCATACTCTTTATAAGGTCAAATTACAAAGGAACACTATAATCCAAAGCACTATAATTTCAATTAGTTTTTCTACAATTCTCAAACTAGTCCTCTCAGTTGTTCAATAACGACATGACTGAACAAACCCTAGGAAATTAGAAGCACAAAAATTGCACGATTTGACAGTAAATTCTCCTCCAGAATACTTAATATTCTACAATTCTACACAACAATAGCACAAACATCAAAACCAAAACCAAAATCATTAAAAAAAGCATCAATGATGACAACAAAACAACAACAATAAGCAAATACACATGCAAACAATTTTCAGAATCTATGGAAAATTCATAAACCACATTGCGCTTAGAATTAAAGCCAATTACCATCACGATCATCATCATCGGCTTTGTCCGGTGAATCCGACTGGTTTCCTTTATCTTCCTCCTCCTCTTCTTCTTCTTCTTCTGCGGCATCGTCGCCTTCTTCTTCTTCTTCTTCTTCTCCGTCTTCTTCTTCTTCTTCTACTTCTACTTCTTCTTCGTCGTCGTCTTCGGCTTGAGCGTCATCGTCGTAGGGGAAGGAATCGGCCGGCGGCGATTGAACTCCAGGCATTTGAAGTTGGTGGAGTAGCGTCCGTACCGTACGGCCGGGGTTCGGGTCCTTTCTTCAGGAGAAGGTCAAGCCGTTCTGAGCCGCAAATCATCTATATTGTAGCCTCGCTTCACCGCTCGAAGCGAATAGGGTGGGTCTCCTTACAGGAGCAGGGCCCAGATCCTACTCGCTTACGATTATAATTATAAGGGCTTGTCCCCCGAACTTACAGTGGGTTAGCAAATTACCCTTTAAATTTTTAATTTCACAAGTTGGCTCTGAATTTATAAATTTGTTACGATGTGTCTTATTTAATTAAATTTATTCAAATTTTTTATTAAATTTAACTGATTAAAAGTTAAGATATTAAAAAATGTGAAATTTGAATAAGAAAGTTAAAATGTTTAGCTGAACGTGTTTTTTGTACACTAATTTAACACAATCATTGTCATAATGGAACATATTACAATAACTTTATAAATTGATAGGGTAACTTATCAAAATTAAAAATTTAATAGGTAATTTACTAAACCACGGCTAATTTATGAGGTAAATTGTGCTAAAAACCCTATTTAATATGAGAAAATTACTTAAGTTAGCCTTACAAAACTAAATTTTTACTCTTCAATAATACCTTAACTAATATATAGCTACTCGACAAAAAATAAAATTAATCAAGAGTGAAAAGTATAAATTCAGACTTATATATTTTAAAAATATATATCTTGTTTCTCCCAATAATATTTTGAGATTGTTTGTTGTTGGCGTCATTAGCCCAAAGAAATACCTACCCACAGTGCACAATTCTAAATTAATTGGAATACAAATATTAGGAAATTTTATGAAAAATTAAAAGGCTCGTAGATAGAGTATTTTCTTACACATTAGCTAAATATTTTCCATGATTTTCATAAAAATGTTACGTTTACGTAGAATGTATTGTAAATAACTTATAATGTACGTTTTTAACTGTCAAATTTTCAACATACTTTCTCAAGTTTACTTATGTTTATTACATTTCATGTTGTTAGAAAAATAATATGGACAATACAAAGAAGAACGACAATATGTTATGGAAAAACAAAATAATGAAATCATTACAAACACTAAATCAACCTTTCTACCAAACTCAGAAATGGAATTGCAAGGATGTCGAGGCACGTGAACCACGTTTTCTTTAAAACAGATTCATCCCCTCCGGCAAGTGTTTGAGGTAACGTTGGACGTCCGTCTCTCATGATACAACGACAACGACGGTAGCTCGAAGCACTATCGGAACCGTCTGGCGAACTAGAACTTGGACCCTCCCTCTATCACCAAAACTAAACTACAAATAAAAACAGACAAAGAACTCGCAAGAGATGAGAGACTGGAGAGAAAGGAGAGGAGAACTCAGAAAATGTGTGTCCTTCCTTCATGTGGTGCATGGCTTTTATAGGCTCTCAGAATAAGGGTTACAAAACATGGAATTATGGGACTTAAACGCACATCTTAATAGTGCAAAACATGCATGATGAACCTAGCCACAAATGCACAGTAAGTTCGGATTTGATGAACACAAAACTGATGGCATAATAGGCCATTAAGTCCACCATTAAGCTCGGTATTAAGCCATCCTTTAATCGCCATTATGCTCATTTTTCAACCATTAAGCACAGCATTAAGGTGAGGGCAAACGGCTTGAAAAATCTTGGCTGAACCAAAAAATAAAAATTACAAAAGTAAGCTCGCACGGAGCGGGTTTTTCTGGCCGACACTCGCGTCCGCAGGTCGCAAGCGTACACATTGGGCCCCAAACCCGCTGGGACTGTGATTCGCACCCCCTGCGCGTGAGAGAGCCTCTCTGGTATACATGCTTACCTAGGCTTCAAAGTGTAATCACTTATAAACACCACCATGGCTCCATTCCTAGCCATTGTGGGATTTTTTACAATTTTCCAAACCAACTTAACCATTACAAGTTGCATTCTTAAAGCATAAATTTCTCATTCACCCGATATCCATTTTGAGCATATGAATATCTAATTTTGATCTCCTTGTGACGGAGAACGCAAATCCATTGTGACCCATCCCAAAATCCTATTGGTCCCTATTTGAATATGGGCCTCAAAATGGGCCTTTAAAATGGTTTAACAACCCATTTTTTTCCAACAATCCCCCACGTGAATGAAAAATTGACTGACGACGAGAAAACACATACTTGACATGGTGATAGAGTTCTACAGTTGATGCTTGTAAATGATAAGTAGGCGTTAACCCTGGAACCTTCCCTCGTGAGAATACATTAACTTTATTGGCTGACCAGTAGACGCGACATCCTTAAACTGTTCTGCCCTTGTGTAAACGCTAATATACCTCACACAGACATCTTCCTGACACAGTTCTGTTCTCATGGTTATGTTCATTTTGGCCATAAACATCTACCTGGTTCTACAAGAGTTTCTAAAGAAATAAGCCCTCACAATTCTCCTTTAAAGCGGCCCCACTTCTCTCTCACATAGGTGATTTCTTAATAAAGAGTAACCCGTATTACTCCGCTCGGATTCCTGACGTATCCGACGCATAAGAATCATTAAAAATTGATGTTTAACCTTTTCTCGTACGGGCTTCACTGTTATCATCATAAGAACAGGCAGGGGTTACTCCCACAATGAACTCAGCTGGTCTAAACAATTTAGTTGTCCCATTGAACCTAGATCTTGGGATCTCTAATCAGCTAGGTTAGGTTTCTATTGCTTCGACCTATTTATTTCATGGGCTTTAGTCTCATTCCCCTCGATGTCTTTTCAACTTGATCTTTATTCAGTCCTTTGGTCAGCGGATTCGCAATATTGTCTTTCAACCTTATATAGTCAATGACTATGACTCCCGTTAAGATCAGTTGTCTAATGATATTATGTCGATGACGTATATGTCTAGACTTACCATTATACATCGTATTGTGTGTTCTACCAATAGCTGATTGGCTATCACTGCGTATGCAAATTGCAGGTACAGGTTTTGGCCAATCCGAAATGTCCTCTAAAAAATGTCTAAGCCATTCAGCTTCTTCGCCACATTTATCTAATGCAACAAACTCAGCTTCCATCGTGGATCTGGTTATTACTGTTTGCTTAGAGGATTTCCATGAAATAACTGCACCACCCAAGGTGAATACATATCCACTTGTAGCCTTAGAATCCTGTGTATCGGATATCCAACTTGCGTCAGAGTATCCTTCTAAAATAGCAGGTTCTATTGTATAATGCAGTCCATAGTCACGAGTATATCTTAAGTACCTCAGTACTCTCACAATAGCTTTCCAGTGGTCATCTCCTAGATTACTCATAAATCTGCTTAATCTACTTACAGTGAAGGCAATATCTAGTCTTGTACAGCTCATTAAGTACATCAGACTGCCAATCACTCTAGCATACTCCACCTGGGATATGCTTTCTCCTATGTTTTTGGACAGATGTTGACTTATATCAATAGGAGTTCTGGCTATACCAGAATCATCTTTATTAAACTTGTCAAGTATCTTGTCCACGTAATGTGACTAGGCCAATATGAGACCATCAGCCACCCTTTTGATTTTGATATCCAAAATCACATTAGCTGGTCCCATATCTTTCATGTCAAACCTTGAGTTCAACATGTGTTTGGTAGATTTGACCATCCGATCACTGTTACCTACAATTATTATGTCATCTACATACAGACAAAGAATAACATAACCGTCTTCTGTATTCTTGACATAAACACATTTGTCACACTCGTTGATTTTGAATCCATTTGACATCATAACATCGTCAAATTTCTTATGTCATTGTTTTGGTGCTTGTTTCAGTCCGTACAAAGACTTCACCAATTTGCAGACTTTCTTCTCTTGTACTGGAGCTACACAACCCTCAGGTTGTTCCATGTATATTTCTTCTTCCAGATCTCTATTTAGAAAGGTTGTCTTTACATCCATTTGATGGACTTCAAGATTCCACAATGCAGCAATCGCTAGTATCATCCTTATAGATGTTATTCTCGTCACATGAGAATACGTGTCAAAGTAATCAAGACCTTCTCGTTGTCTATAACCTTTTATTACTAGTCTGGCCTTATACTTGTTAATTGTTCCATCTGTCTTCATTTTCCGTTTAAAAATCCATTTAGAACCTAGTAGTTTATTTCTTGGCGGAAGGTCTACAAGTTCCCAAGTATGATTTTGTAAGATGAAATCTATCTCACTCTTTAGGGCTTCTTTCCATAAAGGACCATCAGTTTAGCTCACAGCTTCTTTATACGTTTGAGGTTCAGCCTCTAGCATATAGATTAGAAAATTCAGTCCGAAAGACTTTTCTATCCTTGCCCTCTTGCTTCGTCTAGGCTCTTCCTATGTTTTCACATTTCCATCATTTTCAGAATTTTGACTACAATCTTTTACAATTGTCTTGAAACTTCGTTTTGACGAACTTAGCTTATTTTCCTTAGTCTTACATAGAAATACATGTTCAAAGAACGATGCATTCCTAGACTCTATTATTGTGTTCTTGTGTATGTCAGGGTTTTTAGATTCGTGCACAATGAATCGATATGCGAAACTGTTATGAGCATACCCAATGAAGATGCAATCAACCGTTTTCGGACCTATTTTCATCTTCTTTGGTGTTGGAGCTATTACCTTGGCCAAACACCCCCACACTTTCAAGTATTTGTAGGAAGGTTTCCTTCCTTTCCACAATTCATAGGGGGTTTTATCGACTTTCTTACGCGGAACCTTATTTAAAAGGTAATTAGCCGATAAAATGGCTTCCCCCCCCATGTTCTGTGGCAAGCCATAACTTATTAACATTGCATTCATCATATCCTTTAAGGTACAATTTTTTCGTTCATCAATGCCATTCGATTGGGGAGAATACGGAGGTGTGACTTCGTAAATAATTTCATGTTGTGCACAAAGCGCACTAAATGGTTCGACTTATTCACCACCTCGATCACTTCTTACCATCTTAATCTTTTTATTAAGTTGGTTTTCAACTTCTTGCTTGTAGAGAGCAAATTTCTCTACAGCTTCATCTTTGCTTTTTAGAAAATATACATAGCAATACTTTGTGTTATCATCAATGAAAGTGATAAAATACTTATTACCACCTCTAATTTGAACAAACTTTAAGTCACAAACA